AGAAGTGAAGTCTGACTCCATCAAGGAAAAGTGGTAAGAGAGATGATTCTATGTGGATAGTGTCTAGCTCTCAGTAGGGCAGCACAGATCAAATAAGTAACATCAAATGAGTGGCTATGTTATGCTTTCCTGGTAGCCAATAATTTTATATGATTTATTTGTTTAATGGCTGTTTTCACAACTAAAGGAAAAATTTCATGAGAGAGGTGACTATGTCTTTTTCATTTTCTAGTTACTGTATCCCCAGAACATAACACAGTGTCTGACACATCCTAAGTGTTCTATAACTGTTTGTTAAATTAATTAAGTGGGACTTCAATCCTGACAGGATGTGGATGGAAACTAGCAAATGAGTGAGTAAAGGTTGTGAGAAATAAACTGAGGTCTTTGTTGCGAGCCAGGTAATGACTACAGGAACAGAACATGTGTAGAATGGTAGGGCATTCTAACAGTAGTGGTGAGAAATTGAATGTGGGAGGAGTAAAACTAACATTTAATATTGAGCATCTTCTAAGTGCTTAGTACTTTGATAGGTATAAACCCATTTAATCCGCACAACTCCAGAGGTAGGTACTATTATGATACACATTTTACAGATGAAAAAAATTGAGACTCAAAGAGGTTAGATAACTTTCTCATGATCACAATTCTTTTATAGATAGGGTCTCACTCTGTCCCCCAGACTGGATTACAGTGGTGCAATCACAGCTCTTGCAGCCTCCAACTCCTGGGCTCAAGCAGTCCTCCTGCCTCAGCCTCCTGAGTATCTAGGACTACAGGTGAGCACGCCCACACCCAGCTAATTTATGATCACTATTGTGAGACGGTTTCCCATGGTTATCTCATATTTCTGCACTTCTTTTGAGCAGAAACAGTGACTAACATTGTTCCAGACTACCTTTTCAAGGATGTGTGTAGAGTGAATAGCTTTGGAAGATATATATCTCCTTTTGGAGTAAAGGCAGGAACACTTATCACTTATCATAAAAGATTAAGATTTATCCAACTCAGTGTTGCTTTTCTGTAACACAACACACAGCATGTGCAGGTATCACCTGGCCCTTTTCAAATAGCTCTTATGAGACTTTGGGACAAGAGGTAGTGACACAAGAAAATACATATACTCTGGCTAACACTATTGCTGTGAGAAATAAAGTCCTTTATCTCTGACCCAGGAATCTCATGTCTTCTGCCAGCATCCATGAAAATGTGTCAGACTAACTTATTAGCTTGCAAGTAAGATAAAATCTCAGAACCTTCAGAAGTCTTGACAGTCACACAGGTGAAAGATATCAGAACTAGGAATTACACCCATCTCTGTTTGACTCCAGAACCCACACTTTTTCCCCAGGATGATGTTGCTTCCTGAGCTGTGCTCAGGGGAAGTTACTATATCACATAATATCATTCATCCCTGTACTTCCCCTATACCTATGTGTCATTGGAACTGATCTTAGTTTTCAAGTTGGATGATTTCAGTGACCCATTAAGCAGAAAAGACAAGAGGTTTAAAGTATCTAATTGTCTTGCCTTTTGTTTTCTAGGTTAATGGAAGTCCTTAATCAATCGTCCCATTATTTTAGCCATGCTATTTTCCTAGGGTCTTGCAATAGTCAGTATTGTGCCAGGCAGATTTCATACTGATAAACAGGAATTCCCAGAGGACATAGTTGGAACATCTTAGACACTTCATAAATAACAAGCTAGTTTTAGCTTTTTGGGGGATACTTGCCAAGCTCTATATTAAAAGATACTATGCCTCCTATATCCCTGATGGGCCACCTAGGTAGTAGGTAGTTCAGGGGCTGTACATTGGTGGGATCCCAAGATCACATTTTCATATATTTCTAATCCCCAAATTAATTGTATAAAACAGATTCAGTAGAGATTTCTAATCTTCAGAGTCCCAAGTATCACCTTTGGTCATATAGGTATTTTGCTTTCATTGCCTACAAACTCTTTTTATCTTCAACAGTGTTGGTATGTAAGACAATCATTCTCCCTATTCACTAGAGCTAGAGAAATAGCTGCCAGCATGGAGTTGGGGCAAGGAGAAACAGGAGGCCGTGGAGCAGTGAGGCCATTCCCACTTATCATGTCCCCAGATGACTGCTGTATCAGAAAGCCTGATGATTTGTATAGTACTTTTGCCAAAGTGATCAATCCTCACAACAGCCCTTTGAAGAAACTGAGGCCCAAAGAGATTAGGTGACTAATCAGTGCAGCATCACATTGTACATTTATAGCAGCTCTGGGGCTAGATTTCCTTTCTCTATGCTGGACACTTACTGAGTTCAGAGGATAGTTTCAATGAGGTAGAGGAGTAGGAACATTAGGATTCTTTTATTTGTACAGATTCTGGTCATCCTGTCCAGAAGACGGAATCTCAGGGGGCAGAGAGCAGAGTAAAGTCAATGCCAAGCCATGCCATGCTGCCTTCCACAAAGGCTGGGTGACAGGATCATTTGGGTGGCTTAAGGACTGGTATACTGCAAAGAGATGGGGACTGGGGACCTCCCCACACCCTTCTTCTACCCTCTCTTTGAACCCCTCCAGCAGCTGTTGCTCTTATCTGAACAGAGGATGATTGTTTAATTTTCTTCACTTCTGGACATAGATTTACCAAGCTGAGCTCTGCTTGGAGCCAGAGGGAGTGAAAAGAAAACAGTTCAGAAAAGGACTATACAAATTAAGGTTTCCACCAGGCTGAACCAAGCAAGGAAGACTAAAGATAGGAAAGGGAGGTATTTGGGACACCGGCATCTATGAGATAGGAAGGGTCTTGAGAAAGTGTGCTCAAGGTTTCTTTTCTTGACCTGTATGTCTGCTTGAAAAGACAATGAAACAATTAGCTTATTTCTGGCCTGCCAGTTCTGGGCAGCAACATGCCCTAGAGATACTTTTTTTGTAGTATGAACATTAGGAGTTCTCTAAGAACTGGGAACCTCATAGAGGGTGCATTAATTTAATTCTTTCATCATAAATAACAGAGCTCCACTTAGGATACCTCAAGAAAAGTAAGATTATGGTAAGAATACACATGGCCTGGAAAACTGCTATATTCCAAAGCTGCTCTAGGCATCAGCATCTTGTTCTCTTCATCTTCCATACAGTCCCTGCTTCCTTCTATAAATTTCTCTATTTTCCTCTTGACACTAACTGGAAATTCTCTCTATAGTCTGTAGGAAACAGTTCCACAGGGTGCTAGTCTGATTCTCTTAGTTTTTTACTATCAATCCTATTGGACAGAGCTCTTTGTGCCAGGCTACCTTACCTGTCATCAAATCATGGGGCTCATTCCTGGGATGCAAGGTCGCTCCCATGCCACAGCTAGCTGGATTTGCTTTCCTGAGCAGGGAGCAGTAGTCAGAGTGTTGGACATGGCAGACACCACGACTGACAGGTCTGGCACAGAGGATTTCCCTCTGTAGGTTTAGGTAAGACTTGGTAGCAACTCACCTATGAGAAATTCAGCTGAACAGGAGAGAAATAAGGATATTATACTGTGTATGTAGAACAGGCAACTGGTGTTTCCCAAATTGTGGTCCTTGAATCCTTCATCAGATTCATCTTACTGCTTGTTTAAACCTTCACATTTCTGGGCCCTACTTCAGACTTGCAGAATCAGAATTTTGGTGTTGGGATCAGGGAATCTACTCCTCACATAACTCTGTGTACACCAAAGTTGAGAATCTCTGCTCTGTATTCTCCAAGCTTCACTTAAGTTATTGCCTCTTTGTGGCAAGTTCTTTTTCTCCCATCTTTGCTTGGTGAAATCCTTCCCCATCCCTGAGGACTAAATTCAGATATAGCTGTCTTTATGAAGCTTTCCCTGATTTCATTTCTCCTTAACTCCAACCCTCTCCTGTTGCTATGGGATGGGGTATATTGGGGTATAGGAATGGGGTGCAGGGACCTGTTGGCAACATGAGAAGGCACATCTGGGATGGAGCTGGAGGGAAAGATTTATATTTTGCCCCCAACTTTTTTAAAAATTGAAGGTAAATTATGATGAATACCAGCATACCTTTCACCTAGAAATTGTTAACATTTTACAACATTTGCACACATACTTTCTCTCAAAAACATATATACAAAATACACATATGTGTGTTTTCAGTTACAGCATTTGAAATTAAATTGCAATCATGCCACTTCACAACTAAACACTTCAACAAATACCTCCTAAGAACAAGAACATTCTCTCACATAATCATAATATCATTATCACATCCAAGAAATTTAACATTTTAATAACCATACACTATGGAGTCCATATTAAAATTTCTCAAATTGCCTCCAAAATATCATAGCTGTTTGTGTTGGCAGGATTCCATCAAGAATCATCAATTTCATTTGATTGTCTTTTCTTTTTATCCTTTAACGTAGATTCCAGAACAGTACCTTTGGCTTTTTTTCTCAATCATGCTGATATTTTTGAAGAGTCCAGGTAAGCTGTCTTGCATACAGTCTGGATTTCTCTGATGGTTTCCTCATGATTACCTTCAGATTAAACATTTTTTATAAGAATACCACAGAAGTAATGTTGTCGATGCCCCATTGTGTCATATTAGGGGGCCCATATGTCATTGCCCATTGCCTTGTTATTAGTGATGCTAAATTTGATCACTTTTGCCAATGGTTTTAGAATCTATTGATTCAATTGCTGTCTTGACAGAAAAGAGCCTTGAGAAGTCATGTGTTCTGGGAACTACTTTACTAACAACATCCACATAGGACACATCATGATAATACTGATAATAAATACTAGTCACCTTTTTTGAGTGAACTAGGCCAGGCACTCTATAGAAATTAAATCATTTCATCTTTATACCAATCTAATGATTTTACAAATGGGAAAATTGAGGCTCAGAGAGGTGAAGTAACTTTCCCAAGGTCACACAGCTATTAAGAGTGGGAACTAGATTCAAACCCAGCTCCAATTATAGAGCCCACACTTTTAAACGTAATGCTCTACTCTGTAATAAGCAATAATTCTACCTGATTTCAGGATTCTCTTGCCATTTTCTTTTTGAAGAGTTCCAGGCTCACAGCATTCCTGAAAGCAAGGAAGCAGAAGATGCTGGACTTATTTTCTTTCAAGGTGGGGAGATGGTGCGACAAAGAAATCAATTGGCATTCCTGTGGTTTTACAGCAAGTGAGTAACTGAACAGGGCTGTTGATGGAGAGACCTTAAGCTCTTGCTTATGAATTTGACTTTGATTTAAGAGGCAGCTGAGAGCCACTGTGATTTCTGACTGGTGCTTGCTGAATCCAGAGTGGGTTCAGGTTGGATTAATATCACTGTCCTCTGTGTGGGGAAATGCTGCTGCTTGATAATAAACAGGTCTGCAGAGTTTGGTGGAAAGACCAATGTTGCCTAACAGTCTCTTCTGTGCTTGGCACACTTGATAGACTGTCCTTAGGTTTTACAGCTCTCTGTTCAGCCTGGCACAGGGAAAAGCTTTACCTCTTAGAATCTGCTGAATTTAAAAAGACCCCTCACCCCCTCCCTACACCCTCCATTCCCAATAAAGAGAAAAAAGCCTTGTAAATGTGCTCCAAATTTGTACAGCCCACAGTTTTCTCTGTAGTCTGCCAATTCTCCCATGAGAGTGCCCAGTGAAATGCTGCAAATGCTGTAGTGAACTGACAAAAACAAAACAAACAGACCACAAAAACCAACAACCCCAAGACTTTCCCCTGCTTGTAAGAGTCATTTGTAATTTGGGGATTTATTGCACAATTTATCTTCAGTTTCAGCTCGTCCATTTCTTAGCGACAGAGATGTCAGGAAAACATCTCTGCACCTGTTGCAAAGTTTCATTTATGGCTGGAGACAGACACAGACACACACATATAGAGTATCACCCCAATTTTAGCATATGTGCTGTTGAATCAAGCACATGTATATATAAAGCATTATCCAAGTTTAGCATATGTCCTGATAAATTAAACAGCATCATATATAGACACACAAGATTATAAGGTTGGAAAAGTCCTAAGTCCTAAGAGGTCATCTAAGCAAGGCCCTCCATCCTACTCCTTACTCCCTGGCCGTGGATGTTTAGAGCATCTCTATACTGAGATACCAGTCTGGGCAGCTCCACTCATAAGTTGCTTATCAACTTTCCAGCTCCCAGCTTACCAGCTTTTGCAACAAAGGTCTTATAAAATCCCCCTCCCCCCCCCCCGTATCTTCTAGCCTTTGGGGGCTACTGCCTTCTTCTAGAGTCACTCAGAACAAGGGATGTACTTTTCCACACAGGCCCAATCCCCTTATCCTATAAGGATTTAACCTTCTAGCCCCACAGTTCCCAGCCAGGACCTACAGTGACTCTTCTCCCCCTCCTCTGACCGCTCCATTTTGATGGCATGTGTTTCCAAGTTTCATTCTCCCTGTCAGTGTGGCCCTACCTATACTGTGCTGCTCCTCCCTGCCCACCAATCAAGCAAAGGTTTCTGGGAGGCTGGGCCTCTGCGGGCACTGCAGTGCCATCACTCTGCTTGCCAAAAGCCATTTGAGGCAGCAGGTAAGTAAGTGGTTGGAGAGGTGCATTGGGTTTCTGAGAGGCACCAGTCTAGCTAAGGCAGAAATAGGCTCTAACTTAATAATCTGCTCATCGCACACAGTAAGAGACACCCTGACTTATTCAAAGACACCGTGGGCGGTGCAGAGGATGAATAAGCATGATTCACTGCCACTCTGGCACCCGGGGCACGAAGAATAATAAAACCCAAAGAATTGTAGCCGCCTGAGTAGTAAATTAAGAGATCCAGGGCTCAGCTAGACTCTAGACATTAATGTTACCATGGCAATAAAGGGCCCCAGCGTTCAGCAGCTATTACAGAGCAGACATCTAATAGGCTAGTCTATGTCACAGCCAAAGCCCAAGGGGCTAGCAAAGAAGACCAATTAGCATATCCATTCATTAGGGGCCTCTGCACACTTCTTCTCTTAATTCCAATTAGTTGTTTGTTTGAACCAATGTCTCTTGCCTGCATTATACTCATTAGTGCCTTTTAGCCACTGGAAATAGGCTTGAATCTCCATAAGGACCTCACAATTTCCCAAGCCTTCATTTTTTCCCCAGGGGTAGGCTTATACAGTTACAAACCCACGGCCTTCAGTCCTTTGAAATGAAAGCATCTCTCACTGTACAACTGTACTTGACAGACGGAAACTCTGCTCAGGAATGTGATGCGCTAAGGGTTCTTTCTGGAACCCAGTGAAGTAGGGATATGGGGCCATTATCTGGACCATTCAGGTCAAGGAAACCCTCTGGCCTTAGCCAGTGATCCTGCTGGCTACGCCTGCTGGCCACTACTCAGAGGCTGGCTGTTCGGGAGGGGGAACTTTGGGCACTAGGGACCAGACTGGCATCATCAAAGTCGGGCAATAACTGTTCCAGCTTGAAGGCCTGCCCTTCATGGTCCAGCCCAAACCCCGCCTATTCCGGGAAGCCTTCCCTGATCTTTGTAGCCCTGAGTAACTTCTCCCTCCTCTATGCACTTTGAAAAGGACACCCTTGCTGGGCACATTCATAGGCAGCCTCAGGCCCTAGCTTGTCCTGGAGCTTCCTTACCCAAAGACTTCAGATTCCTCAGGTCACTAATTCTTGAAGGGACCAGGGTTCTGGAAAGTATTCAACAATGCCTGCATGACTCCAATGGCAAACAACTCTTAAGCTCCACTGCACTTGACTTCCCAGAATCTCCCTTGAAGATCTAGTTCAATCCCTGGGTAGGGAAAGTACATGATTGCTCTTTGATGGCTCTGAGACACATTGTGCCCCCAAACACATACACAGTTGTGGAAATGGCCCACAAGAACAGATACCATATACTAGCCCATCTTCTCTGAAGGGTGCTATCATTTCTTCCTTCCTTTGGGAACTGGAGGATCCAGTCCATAAGGTTGTTTGTTCCCAGTTGCCACTGTCACCAACCATGTGGTTTCACTGGAGCAGGCACCCAGGACAAAGAACTTACAGAAGCAACTTCTAACACCTTTGTCCAAGAAATGAACATGTAGTTTTCAAGACTTGAATAACTTTGCCTTTGAACCTGCTGTTCTGTTCCAAACCTCTCCTTTCTTCTCCTCTCTTGCCTCTGTAGCCGCTGCTTCATTAGATGCCCCATTGGCCACTTCTGGTGCCATTCTGCTGCACTGTTAAGCATATTGCTTTTTTTCAAAATTGGCAGGAATGATTTCTGCTTTAACTAGAGTGTTTTGAGTGTGAACTCATACAGATTTCTGTCTTTGACCACCTATGGGATTCAGTTATTTTTTTATTTTTATTTTAGAGTATTATGGGGGTACAAGTGTTAAGGTTACATATATTGCCTATGCCCCCTCCCCCCTCGAGTAAGAGCTTCAAGCGTGTCCATCCCCCAAACGTTGCACATCTTACTCGTTGTGGTTGTATATACAGATTCAGTTATTTTACCCCACCCAACAGCTGGCATTCCAGAAGGCAGCCTGGGTTATAGTTGAAATACATCACAAATGTATTAAGTACATATCAAACCACCAATTACCCAGAATGCTAAGGAATAAGAGATTCTGTAGCATGGGCTATTTTGTTACCTGAGGTCATGTCACTCCACACCCTATTTTGCCTCCCCACCTTTAGTTTTTGAAATGTTGCTAAAATTACTGTACTCTCTTTTTTGCCTTACTAACACAAGGCCAGTTAACCTATCCTTTGTTTGGTTTTTGAGGCTTCCAAGGGCCTTAGGAATCACATGAAAGACTAATATGAGGCTGGACATGGTGGCCCACACCTATATTCCCAGCACTTTGGAAGGCTGAGGCAGAAAGATCACTTGAAGCCAGAAGTTCAAGATCAGCCTGGGCAACATAGTGAGACCCCAGCTCTACAAAAAATAAGAAAAATTATCCAGGTGTGGTGGTTTGTGCCTACAGTCCCAGCTACTCGGGAGACTGAGGCAGGATAATTGCTTGAGCCCAGTAGTTTGAGGTTGCAGTGAGCTGTGATTGTGCCATTCACTGCACTCCAGCCTGGGTGACAGAGTGAGACTCTGTCTCAAAAATAAAATAAAAATTAACTACAATTGAAGCCATTTTCATCAGAATAGGCCTAGACTTGGACTTATGACTAAATCTCTCTATCTAAACTATTGTGCTGTTTTCCTTGGTTATGAATATGCCCAGAATCTCAGTATCTGCAACATTTTCAGCCACATGGGTATAATGGGGGATGATTTGTGAAGGAAGGATCACAAACTCCATCCAGGACTTTTAGCCACCCAGGCTCCAGTAGGGTGGACCAAACAGACCAAAAATGCTATACAGTGTTCTTGACTGTTTCTACTAATTTTTCTTTTGTTAAATCTCACATTGGCTTCAGGAGTTATGTATGTCTGGGAAACTGACACTGCAAAGTTCTGGCTCGTTCCCTGCCCTGATGCTAAGGGATAAATATAGATCTCAACCACTACAGAAATTTGGCCAGGATTCCAAGGGGTGTGTGTATGAGGGGCAGTGACTGATGGGGCCACTCTGACATGTGGGCTAGGAAAAGGCTTCTTTAATGCCCAAGACTCTTTGGTGCAGGGAGGGGTAAAGCCGGAGCCTGGCCTCTAAAATCAGAAAGTATATTCCACATTTTAAGAAGCTTGTGGATTGACACAAATAAGAAATATTGTAGGTGGCTTGGAGTGTGTGTGGGGGTGGGGGGAAAAGCAAAGGGAATCTTTCCTGACACCCTAGATCCTTTTGCATGAGATCAGCCTCATGAAAAAAGCAAGTTATTCTTGGCCATCTCCCCTCACCCCCAACTCCCACTCAGGCCCCACCCCTGCACACACTGATATCCAACTCTCAATTGAGAAGAACATGACTTAAGATTTCCATTGGGCCCATCATATCTCAAGTGCTGGAGAAGGGCAAGGGGTGGAAAGACACATGAAGGGGGGGCGATGAGCTGCTCATCCTCGTGACCTAGAATATCTCCCCCTCCCTGTAATGATGAGCTTGCTTTTCCATAAGGGCTTTCCCTTCATTCGGGGAAGGGGCCAACCAATGAGAGAGGGGCATGCTAGATTATTTTGGGGAAGGGCTCATGCCAAGAGGGTTCACTTTTACCAGGCGCCAAGTGTCCCCAGCAACCAGTGTCTCCTGTACCAGCAGAAGCTCCAGAACTCTCGCCCACTTGCCTGCCTCTGCTGTGTCTTTGCCCACTGAATAGCCATGAGAAGGCAACTCCGGTCCAGAAGGGCTCCAGCCTTTCCTTACGGCTATCGCTACAGACTTGTGAGTCCCAGGGGGCAGAATATTTTGCTTCCCCTTTTGTAATGGGGTAGGGGTTGGGGGCTGTGTAGTCCTTGGTTTATGGCTGCCTCTCCTTGGGGTGGGCAGAAGCAATGAAATTTAGGGAAGCCCAGGGTTTCAAAAAGGAGCAGTGACTCCCAGAATCCCAGAGCACACTAAATTGCTGGCTGGAAGAAGGAAGCCCCTCTTACTATGGAACAAAGATTAGGGAAGAGGAAGATACCAGAGAATGGGAGGACTTCTAAGGTTTTTTTCTTGGGAGTCTAGAATTTGCACAAACCTTTTGAAGTCTGGGAGTAGAGGTTTCATTTTGATAGCAAGAAATTTAGCCAAGAGAGAAGGGAAGAGGAAGAGGAAATGAAAGGCACTGCCTACCCAGCTGTCTCAGTCCCTTTGGGTGATAGTTTCTCAGAACCCAGCTGCCCTTTTTCTAAAGCAGAAATTTCAAACTTGAGCTGAAATCATAGGATCATCAGTTGGAGCTGGGAGGAATCCTAGACATCATCTCTTCAGAACCCCTCATTAGGTAAAGGAGGCTGCTGGGGCTCAAGAACTCCGGGGGGACTTGCCAGTCAGTGAAGAAGCCAAAGTGAGAACGCAGGTCTCCTTGCTTCTAATCTTGTGTGCTCTTTCTATTGTATGTGCAGTATGCAGCTCCCTAACCCCTCATCTGCCACCCCACGCTGCCTAACAAACATGCACACACACACACACACACACACACACACACACACACACACGCACTCCTTTGGTGTAACCATTTATCTCCAGGGTGCATTACAAATTATTCGATCTAAAACTTTCTTTGCATTTACTTTGCTATAAATTATTAATATGCATGACACACAGTACTTTTTGGTGAGGAGGATTCTGAAGATTTCCCCAGAGAGGATTGTGATCTGAGCCCAGGAGGAAACAAAGACTAATTCATTTTTATTTGAGTATAGCCACTTATATAACCAGGGAGTTAAGCGAAGACTGTCAACAGCCAGCAGACAAAAACACAAATTCTTCTAACCCCATATCAACCTACAGAGGGCTTCCCTTAGCTTTCTAGCCACAATTTGTAAAATCTTCCTTTTGATTTCCCCGAGGTTCCTTCCAGCTCTCAGAGCAGTTATGAGCTGTGGGGCATAAATAACTATTCCTTACTTGCCTTCTTTTCTATGTAATGTTGTTAATGTGTTGTGTATAACTTCAGTTATTTGTTAAGTTGTTTGGATTTTAAATGCATCAGGGGATCTTGCTCTTTATAATACTTGATAAAAATTTAAAAAGAAATAATTTGATGCAATCATGCACTAATTTCTCTTTTAAAATTAACCAACCATTCAAATGTTTATGGGGTATTACTCAATGCAGGGCACAAATTTAACCTTTGGGTCATACCGTTTGTGTATATATTTGTTTATATGTTTATATATTTAGATTGCTCAAAATGGAGCCACCCTCTGTCCTTCAGACTCTTCCCTTTTAGGGAAACATGATGGGCCCAGCACACGCCCACTACCATATTCCAGAGCGCGCATGCACGCGCACACACAATATCACCCGAGGGTAGTGCCACTTTAGGAAACTGACAAAAACAGAACCTTAGGGATAAGCATTCTCATCACCAAAGGATTCCTTACTGTATTTTGTTAAATAGTTGCACAAAAGTGCATTTCACACAGAATTTAATTAATGAGGAACCTTTTGGGAAAGCCTCCCTTGCACAATGTGATGCTCCTCTATACCTGGAAATGGGAGAGGAGAAAAGATTTGAGGGTCCTCAAGTAAGTCTCAGGTGGTGTGAGAGCTGTGGGGGGAAATTAGCTCTGAGAAGATCAATTCTTCCCGGGAGGGTAAAGCTTTAATGACAAGCCATCTTTAATGGGATTACCACGAGAGCTCATATCTACAAATAAGATCAGGCTGATGCCAAGGCCAACTGCCTCCTCTGTGCAGCAGAGGAGAAAGGCAGGCATAGGGAACAAGGGGAGAAAAGAAATTTCTTCATAAAATATAAAAGGAATATAAATTCCTCCTTTCATAAAATGTTATGCTTCAAATTCTCTGAAATTCTCAGGTACAGTAGATTCTCTGGGGGCCATGATGACTTCCCACTCTAGCACACATGACTTCCAGGGTAGGTAGACCAGCTCTGTGAGAGCATTCCTCCAGAGTCCTGCATCAGGAGTTTTAAGTCAGGTAAGTGTCATTGTTATTTGGTCAGGACCCACTGGGTCCTGTGAAGCTGTGGGCTTCACACTGTGGAGGCCATCAAGAGGTTAGAAAACACGGACCCTCCTCCTGAGTGCTCAAAATGTATTTTGGGAGGTCAAATATGTACATAGGTTCACACATAAGTAAAAGAAATTTAAGAAGAAATATTAATCCATTCAACATTGAGTGATGGATGAGGTTATTTTCCTAAGCCTTACATTGTGAGTCTATGTCAATCAGAAATCCTTGCTTATAAGTGCCTACAATCTTTTGGGAACACAGAACCTAAGATATTGTTGTGCTTCATAAATCTGCTAAGCTACCTCTATGCACTTGTGCTCAATGTGATAGAAGAGAAACATCATTGTCCAGGGTAACAGGAGACATAGGTTCTGAGACTGTCAACTCTGTCATGGACTTGCTGTGTGGGTTTGCCTAGATCCTGTCCCCTCTCTAGGGGCAAGCATATCTTGCCTCAGATAGACAAGTAAATCTTGAAGTTCCCTGTCAGTTCTGATATGGTGTGTGATATAGAGCTGTGCATTGGAACAAATTGGAGAGCAATTTAAGAGTGCTTATAATCAAGAGCTAGATAGTTCTGGGCAGCCTGAATGCTGAGAGATGAGCTTAGTCATTCTGTATCACTTTTACTGATTCTGAACAAGCAAATTTGCTACCCCCCCCCCACCAAAGGCAGCATTTTAGCTGAGTGCCCTCTAAGTGGCCTTTGAGGAATCAGGCAGGGAGGGAGCAGCACAGAGCCCCTGGCCTCTAGTGTTTGACATATCCAACCCCAACAGGTGCACAGGCTCCGCTGCTCTTCAGACTTGGACAGCAGAGGCAAGGGAGGGTGGCCTCATTTTCTGCTGCTGCAGTGAGCCTTGGCAAACCCCCAAAGAGCAAAGATACAGCGCTCCAGCCTGTGGCAGGGAGGCATTTGAAACACCACTTGGTGAAGTCTGGGTTTTTCAAAATTTTTTTTTGGTTTAATTTTCTTAGAACCACTCAGAGAAGATTACAGTTTCAAATCTCAAGTAATGCCTGCAATCAGTCAATCAACAAATATGTGCTGAGCACTTACTACGTGCCCAGCTTTTTGCCTCGGTTACAGGGGGAGACTAAGGAAGCCTGGGGTCTCAGCTCTCAGGAGGTCTCTCCCATCAGCTTAAGGCAGGAAGAGAGGTTGCAGCTAAGGCAATAGTCAGAAAAGCAGCAAATAACTTCCCTTCTCTTGTTGCTGCTGGGAAGCCAGGCTAAGTTTTGAGGAGGGGTACAGCAGTTGGCCTCTCCTCCTGATGTCTGTCCCAGGCTATTTTTAGACACTACTTGGGATGGTGAGGTTGAGCAGCTGAAAGTGTACAGGGTGTTAGGACGAAGCTGGCTTAGACTGGGAATTTGCCATCATGGACACAAATGTCTAAGACTACTCCATCTTCCCATGTGAGCTCAGCTCTGTACTGACAGGCCAAAGTTAAAGCGGTGGCTAAGGCCCTTAGGACAGAGTAGTGACATGAACAGTCCTAGGGGAAGAGCCCAAATGCCTGAAGCTGAGAATAAAATTTGCACCTCTAGGGCAAGAATACTGAGTTTAAATGGGTTGCAGAAAGGATATTTCCTTCAAAACAACAGAGAGAAAGAAAGTCCTCCTCTTGTAACAATTGGTATGTTTATGGGGAAGTGGAAATTTGAAGCATCTCCAAATATCGAGTTGTTTCCATTTATTTTTGGCTGGTGGGATGCACCATTGGAAATTTTTTTCATAAAGGGGATTGTGTTTTGTCACTTTTTCAGGACGATCAGGATGAAGTTAACCAGAACTACTTAGCAGATGAAGAAGAGGAAGCAGAAGAAGAGGCTCGGGTGATGGTGGTGCCCGAATTGGAGGAGGAGGAAGAAGAGAAGGAGAAAGAAGAAGAAGAAGTGGAGGAAAAGGAGGAGGAAGAGGGTCAGGGTCAGCCAACAGGCAATGCCTGGTGGCGGAAATTGCAAATCCTGAATGAATACCTGTGGGATCCGGAGAGAAGGATGTCTCTGGCCCGAACAGGTCAGAGTTGGAGTAAGTCCCAATCGTCTCAATGCCCCAGTCTGGTGTCCTTTGCTTTCGGCTTGGTATCCAGGGCTCCTTTACCATACGCTGGAATGGGCTTGTCTGCAAACTTTTCTTAGCATTTCATGTAAAGGCACCAATGCCTAGGGAAATGCCTGCGCTGTGGACAGATTCCATCAGAACAAACTCCAAATGGATGAACAAACTTGATTGTGGAACTGAAATACACTGGGCTCAGTATCAGTTGCAATACAGAGAGACAACGAGAATGAGTTGAAAAAACACAGGTTTTTTTTTTAAAAGTCCCAGTCCTGTCACTTTCTATCCATGTGACCTTGGACCCACCATTTACTCTCTCTGAGCTTCAGTTTACCTTTACTGAGGGAAACAATCCCTGCCCTGCCTCTTTCACAGGATCAGAGTGAGGCTCCAATAAGATATTAAAATTGTAAAATTGAAAGAATGATGCCGAAGACTATTTCTAGGATCTGAGACCCAAGTCTCTGCCAACCTGACCAATGGTTTTTATAAAGCCTCATCACTTTATCTTACAATGTCAGAGAAGGAATGCCAGGAGGCCTGCTGTTGGCCCTGGCTTGTGGGTGCTTTCCTGTCCCATGGTAGACACAGAGGAATTACGTTTAAAAGGATCGTTACTAGAGATTAAGGTTGAGCCTCCATGTTGCTTGATCAATGGCAGAATTGTATTCCTTAGCATTTCCTTTTTGTACCACATGCTGCCACCATTTTCACTTCACAACTTCCCCAGCACCTCCCTCCCAGGGTCCTATCCACCTCTTAAACTATTAATGCTGAGCCTTCCCCACCAGGAGATTTAGCCCATGGTGAAATTCACACTTGCCACACTTTCTGTACAGCCCAGAAAAAGAGCAGCTGCTGGTTTGGAACTCAGTCAATTTTCAGAAGAAAAATAACAGAGGACATTATGGATGAAATAGGAGTCCCCTAGTGCCAACAGTCTAGGTTGCTGAAGTTGATGGCTGTGCCTTCTAAAGACCCTTTGGCTGAGAATTATCTCCATTGTAGTTAAAGTTTCACCCTGACTAGTTAATTCAGCTCACTCAGGGTGAAACAGCCAGTCCTGCTTCCTGGAATTAGGAATAGCAGGTGTGGGGCTCTGAACAACACCCATCTCCCTTCACCCCTCCTCAGTTCCCAGCCGCACCCCTGCCCATCCCTCAAACTCTCAACTGGAACAAATGTACCATTTAAGGGACATTCCAACATTCTGGAAGCTGCAGACAAGTGCTGGACACTCATTAGGGCTCCAAAGGGAGCACAGCTGTTTCTCTCTTGCCTAAAGAGGCCTGGAAAAACAGTCCTAGTAGAATGCAAGTGTGATTCTGGACGTGGGAGCCATACATTAACCCCTAAGCAGCCAGCCACTGGAACTTCAACAGATGAGCTGATCGAAATTGCTCCTGTGGAGGACAATCCATAGGCCAATAAGTGGGGATGAGGGTGGAAGGTTCAAGTGCCCACGGAAGAGATGGCAGTGGGAACGCTGCATGGTAGGCCATAGCCAGACTTCTGGGTAGTAAGTCTAAGGAGAGCCTAGGAATTCTTCTGTTGGGCTACCCTGGGCAAAAGGCAAATGGTAATGTTAATGCCATGGCCAGAAAACACATGCCTTGCTGCTTTCTTTCCTAAGAACTAGGTTCCCACTTGAGCATTTACTAACCTTGTTCCAATCTGGACATCAACCTGCCCAACATATATATTCAACCTGTTAATATAATCTGGGCTTTTCCTTTGGTAGCTGGGCAACCCCTATTCTTAGGAACTATATGTTATTTTATTGGATACTGACAAGAACCATATGAGGTAGTAATATTATTATCCCCATTTTACAGATGCAGAAACTGAGGCTTAGAGAGGGTAAGTAATTTATCTAAAGTCACACAGTTACTAAGTGGCACTGCTGGGATTCAAACCCAGGTTGGATGAACACCAGAGTTCATCCTCTTGCCAGAACACCACACTATCTTCATGAACTGTAATAATGAACAAGGCTCTAATGGATAAGGCCTCAGGACCTGATGAGGTGTTTTAGTGGGAGGAAAGAAGAATTGGGAATGTGGGTACTTACTGCTCTATCCAAGCCTGGGTGGGGCATTCAGGAGAGAATCCTAGATTACCTAGAGAAGGGGCTCAAGTAATACCTGAACATGTGTGGCAGAAAGGGTTCGAGGGATCAATGGGTTCAGATGGGGACCCTACTGGGTTTTGCCTGAGGGTGGCTGAAAAAGTTAATCTATCACAGACTCCAGGGCACCCACTCCCGGGTGAGGCTGAGGGAATTCATTGCTAGTGCCATTCGCCCATCTACAGCTTCCTAGCCACACATGCTTGGGAAAGAAGGAAGATAAGTCCAAGGGAATGTACCTGTATTTCATTGCTTTCCTTTCATCCACAAAACTGAGTCTTTTGGTCCCCCAGGATGGCTCCAGGTGTTGATCCATTCCCAGGATGGGGATAAGGGTAGAGGAATGGAGGAGGAAGCACAGGGGAAAATCCCATTAGAATAGCCAGTAGGTAGGCCTGGCATGGTGGCTCACTCCTGTAATCCTAGCACTCTGGGAGGCTGAGGCGGGTGGATCACTCAAGGTCAGGAGTTCGAAACCAGCCTAAGCAAGAGTGAGACCCCGTCTCTACTAAAAATAGAAAGAAATTAATTGGCCAACTAAAAATATATAGAAAAAATTAGCCAGCCATGGTGGCACATGCCTGTAGTCCCAGCTACTCGGGAGCCTGAGGCAGAAGGATTGCTTGAGCCCGGGAGTTTGAGGATGCTGTGAGCTAGGCTGATGCCACAGCACTCTAGCCTGGGCAACAGAGTAAGACTCTGTCTAAAAAAAAAAAAAAAAAAAAAAAAGAATATCCAGTGGGCAATAGCCAAGTATCACAGGCACACAGGCACTGTTGTTTCTTCCTCAGAGACTCCAACTGAATCAATGTGTTCAGGTTACAGTTCTGCTTTAGTTCCTCTAATAAAACATAAAGGGTCAGTTCTACTTCTAGTTGAATTACTACAGTTTTTTCCCCCTTCCCCCACTCCTTTTTTGGTTAATTTTATTTGGTTCATGGTTCAATTTAAAAATTAATATTTGGATTCAGTTTTGGGTACAGCAAAGTTTTGTGGTTTGTTCCAGTTTCTGGTTCATGATTCCGTTCAAATCTGTAGTTCTGACATCATGTCACTGCTGTGAGCGGAGCCAAATACTGTTGCCTGAGAAAACCCCAAGGAGGACTTGAAAAGAGTTTCTCAGCAATGTCACACTCACGTACCCCACTCTGTGCTGCCTAATCTGGGGCAAACCTAGTCTCTATACAGAGGGAAACTTAGTCTTATTACAGAGGGAAAATTCACACAACTATGCTTCTGGTTCTATAGCAATAATAATAATATCAATAGTAACAATGACAATGACTGGCATTTATAGAGCACTTAGTATCTACCAGGCTCTGTGCTATGCTGTTTATATACATTATTCAATGCTAAGAAGTGAGTACTGTTATTTTTTTTTTATTTCGGCATAATATGGGGGTACACATTTTAAGGTTTCAATAAATGCCCTTTCCCCCCTCCCCCCAAAAGTCTGAGTTTCCAGCATGACCATCCCCCAGGTGGTGCACATCTCACTCATTATGTATGTATATACCCGCCCCCCTCCCCCCTCCCACCTGCCCAATAAGTACTGTTATTTTATAGATGAGAAAATTGAGGCCCAGAGAGGCAAACGGCATGTCCAAGTTAAAACAACTAAGAAGTAGTATAGTCAGAATAGAATGTAAGGAAAGGCTGAATTTCAGATATTGTTAAGGATATAGATAAGAATATGAAGTAAGTGCTAAATTTATCCCCACTTTCCTGTGAGGAATCAGGGGTACAGAGAAGTTCTATAATTTACCCAAGTTCACAGGCAGTGTCAGTGATTAAGTACCATTTCCTCCTCCTCCCTTTACCACCCTGTGTTAGTGTTCTTTTTAAAAAGCTGAGCCACTTAAACTTTTGCTAAAGATGAATAAGATTTGAAATAAGTAGGGAAAAATCTCACTTTGCCTTGATTAGAGGCAAGTCCAGTGGAAATTAATCAAAAGTTTGAATTATAGACTATGTGAAAGGAAACGCTGTTTTTATCACTTGCAAATACATATAATCACTGGAACCAAGCTGCTAGGACTCTTCAGGGCACCTGCCTTAATGAATAGAGAAGAATGATTTGTACTTAGGATATCAACGTTACCCAGAAGACTCTCTAGCAATTTGCCCTCTGCAGTACTTTAAACTCCACTCCCCTATAATCTTGTTCATGATCATCATTTGCTCAGCAAGCCCTTCCATCGGAGATGCTGTAAAGGTAAACTGCAATCGGAGTTTGCACCCTGACACAATCCTCACCAATTCCAAATCGGTGAAGTTTGAATAAGCAAGGACATACTGAATCTGGGGAATTTATTAAAAAGTCATCTCTTGTTTGGGTTGGTTCTGGTTCATGAGTTCGAGTGGGGAGGCAGGGCTTGTTGGCAAGCACTGACCACTCTCATGTTTGATTACTCTGCAGGCCTGATCTTAGTCATTTACTTCTTCTTCTATGCCTCCCTGGCTGCTGTGATCACTCTCTGCATGTACACACTATTTCTGACCATCAGTCCTTACATGCCGACCTTCACTGAGCGGGTGAAGCATCCTGGTGAGTGTGCCCAAATGCCCTGTGTTGTCAGAACTTGCTGGACAGAAATCTGCTTGCACAGCATGCTCAGCCTCAATTAACTTTGGCTCTTCCCGGTAATGACTTAGAGATTCAATTATTAAGAGTAAAAGTAAAATGGTACTTGGCAAATTATGGTCCTTTTCATTTTGATTGCCTGGGGGGAAATGGTTTCATGGGAATCAATACCAAAAAATTATCCCAAGAATGGGTTAATATATCCAAGACCTGTTTTCATTGCCAGGAGTTATGATCAGACCCTTCGCCCATAGCCTTAACTTCAACTTCAACGTTTCTGAACCTGACACTTGGCAGCATTATGTGATTAGCCTAAATGGCTTTCTCCAGGGTAAGTAAGTTCCTCTGAATAGTGGAAAGCTCTTTTGAAAGGTGATGGGTGGGAATTCAAAATTCAAAATTCACCTGGCCCAGAAATTCCAGTCTTACTAACCCAAACCCATGACGGTCTTTCCTTACTTTTCATCCCCCTCTGCACCTGTAGATACAATCAAAACTACTGTAGTGTATGTTGCCTTGGAAGCATACAAACTGACTCTGCAGCAAGACAGTAAGCTCTTTGAGACAGAGAGCTTGTTTGCTCTTCTTGAACATGCTATAGCACTTAGTTAAGTCCCAAGCACATTCAGGTAGCTCAAGAATGATCATTTATAAAAAATAATTCTGGGGGAGATAGTGGTGAGAAAAGGAGAATGTTCTCCAGAAATGGAAGATTCCTGGCTTCTATACTTTTTCAAGGTGAGAGTATTTGTTTATTGAAGATAGGCCTTATCTTGAAGGGAGACAACAAGTGTATTTAACAGCATTCCAGAAAGGAGTTAGAGGAAGAATCTCTGGGTGGCAGTCAACTCTCATTTTGATCCCAAATATTTTCAAGATGCCTATCTCTACAGCATCATCAGATAAATTTTCAGGGACAAATGAATGGGTTTGTGGGAGTCCCTTCCACATTGTAAAAGCTGAGGTAGCAGCTTGGTTAAGGTTAAACACAGAGCACACAGGTTCTGTATTTATCCAGCTATTAAAGAGGAGCTCCAGTGGGGTTTGCATTGCTGCATCTAATCTTTGTGGGGGAAAAAACCCAATAGTCTGGTTTGGTTGTCCTGGCCTGGCTGAGGTGGAGGGATGGAGGGTAGCTAGTAGAATGTGCACTGAATTAGGAGGAGAACCATCCATTATCATGTGCCAGGAAGTGTTAAATACATACATTTTGCCATTTAACTTTAACCCTATATAATAGAGCTAGTTGATCATCCCCATTTTACAGATGAGGGAACTGAGGCTCAAAAAGGGGAAGTAACTTGATCAAAGTCTCCCAGAAGCAGAACCAATGTTTGAACCCACATTCATGTTTTTGATGCCCTTGCTACTCAAGGTGTCATCCAGGGACCAGCATCGTGGACATCACCTGGAAGTTTGTTAGAGAAAGGCAGAGTCTCAGCACCCCCACCCCCCCCCCCGCCCAGACTTGGTGGGTCAGAATCAGGTATTGTTCACAAACGGTCTGCCATGTGATTTATATGAACTTTACAGAAGTTTGAAGGAGGTGCTGCTTTTCATAATTCTGTGCTGTGCTGACCATATAGGACAGGGAGTTAGAAACTTGGGGTATTGGCCGCAGTAATGGGCTCAGGTGTTCATTTAATATTTTGGTTAAGTCTTGGAGGCTCCAGGGGGATTCCTTTAACCTGGTAAAAACTATAAGGAGGCTGGCGTTTCTTTTCCTGCGAAGTCATGTAGTTTCCATTTTGCGGCCAGCCAAAAATATGTTTTGACATCATTAAGGGGCCCAGGCCACCAACAATTTTCTTCTTTTCTTTCAAAAGTGCTCCGTTTGTGAGATATCAGTGGCCACATATTCCGAGAATCTCTGCTGAGGGGAAATCCACTCACGGATGAAGGCTAGTAAGACGGAGAGAAGTACCATTCTGGGACCTGATACAATGAAGGCCAGGGAATGGTTATGGACAACGACGGACCAGATGTTTTTTAGTCCTAAAGAGGGGCAGATAATGATGTCCTGCTAAAAACAGAAAGTACACCATCTCTGAGATAGACATCCAAGGTATCAGTTTCATTCTCCCATTGAGGGGACTAGGATTTTGCAATAGTAGGGGTCATGGCTTAGTCTTCATTTACGGGAATACGCTTCGGGAGGGAAAACACAGGATTGAGGACACGTGATCGCGCCAGCTTGGGTAGAAAGGTAATTATTTTGGACTATAACTTCTTGTTTAAAAGCAAAAATTAAAAACAAAGCCCTGGAATTAAATGCCGGTTCCTTACTTTTCAACGGAAAAGTAAAGGGCATGAGGCCATAACGAGCTGAAAATATTAAAGATCCCAGTTGCCAGTTAATAATATCACAACCCACGGTTCACAACCTGTTTGATGAAGGATCGCTTGAAGTATATTTTGAACTCTATTTCTTCCTCTTTTTTTTTTTGGTTTTTTGGAGACCAGGTCTCGCTTTTTGTTTTTTGCCCAGGCTGATGTGAGGTGCCATGGCGTCGCCTGGCTCACATTAACCTCCCAAACTCCTGGGGCTCAAGCAATCCCTCCTGCCTCAGACCCCCCTCCCGACGAGCTGGCGGCGACTACACGCCCATCGCGGCCACCATGCCCTGTGTAGCATTTTTATACGCTATATGATATGGTTAGCTTGGGCCATTAATTTCGTGTCCGTATTTGCTGGTAGAGACGGGGTCTCGCTCTTGCTCAGGCTGGTTTTGAACTCCTGACCTCGAGCAATCCTCCCGCCTCGGCCTCCCAGAGTGCTAGGATTATAGGCGTGAGCCACCGCGCCCGGCCTGACTCTTACTTCTGATGAATCATAGGTGCAAAGTCGCCTCTGAAA